AACAAAAAATTAATCCATTACTTTTAACGATATTTATTTTTTTAAAGTTTTGAATACTTTACTATGCGTAAAAACAGCGTTTTTCAAGATGGCTGACGTTTGTGAAAATCGCGCCAACGTAAATCGCCAAAAATCCGTGCAACCGTCTACCAAAGTAGCATCAAACATTTTTTAAAAAATGCAAAATTAAATTGTATTTTAATATTTAACAGCCATAAATAATGTTTAAAACATTAGATTAAATTTATAGATATTAAAACTAATTACTTTTAAAGTAAGGTGACGTCATTGATTACATCATCCACAACATAAAATATCATAAACAATAAAATTTTTATTTCAAATAAAAATGCAAAATTAAATTGTTTTTTAATACTTAGAAGCCATAAATAATATTTAAAACACGGAATTTATGCATAATAAAACGCATTATTTTTTTTAATAAAATGACAACAAAGTATCGGTTACCATAAATAACTTATCCAGCAATGGGTTTATCATAAGTCGTATTACTCGCCAAAAGAAAAATTGCCAAATTTCGCCAAAATCCGTGCAACCGTCTACCAAAGTAGCAGCAACTGGTACTATTTATTTACCTTACCTGCCAGTTATTGAAGAAACAAACCAAACCACGAAACTTCGGCCTGCTTCTGCACGAACGAAGAGTTCTCCATCGCTTTAGGGATTGTTTAACGAAGAGACTTAATCTAATTGAAATTTCATTTAGCATTTTCAATCGGTTTTTGGAAATACTATGTTTCGGTTTCTTCAGGCATTTAAAAGACATTCTTTAATTCGTAAAAGAAGAGGACAGCAATTTTTTTAATTTTATTACTCGGCGATGAAATGTAAAGGGAAAATATATCGTCATAACAGAGTAGCTTTCTGATTGAAGTTAAGCCCCATCTTCTTAACAAAGTACCAGATCATCATTTGAGCAAAGTACCAGAAAATTTGTTGGCTGCACAAATTTTAAGAAATTCGTTCCATGTAAGTAATTCCTAAGGATGTTTAAATTCCACCGAAGAAGCAGAGAAGTTTGTTTAAACAGCCAAAAACATTATATCTTCTTGGCATTTAAACTTGAGGTCCAAAAGGACGTTTTATTAACGTTTTGTGTGTTGCCTTTATTTATTAGATATCATGTTCTTCGCACTTAAACCATAAAATTCAGTTCAACAGCAATATATCAAAAAAATTTTAAAATGAGCATATCTTTATAATTTCCGATACACAGTCTCGAGCACTGGAGATAAAAATGTTTATTTTTTCGTACAGTCTTGCCATTGCTCGTTCTGAAATCGTTGAGTTTGTTAATCAATTTGTTATAGTTTTACAAAATCTGAAATAAGTAATAAAACAAATTCCAAATTCCAAATTCGGGCTTCCAAATGCCCATAATCGGGTGGAAACGTACGTTATTCAAAGGCTCTAGGTACCGTTGTTTTATCACAATGCGAGAAACATACATACATTTATGCAGATTCTTCATTATTTAATTTCTTTAAATATAACACACGGCTCTAATATTTGGTGGCAACAATTTGAAAAGTGAATCAACGTCTACAGTGAATCAATGCAAAACGCCAAAACGAAATTAATAGTCCTTCTGGGGAAAATGCCCTTTGGATTAATAATAATATCCTCGGTTAACTAGACACGTTTGCTCTAAACACTATTTAAAATTTAAAAAAAAAAAAAATCCGCAGGTTTCAGATTTTAAATTACGTCCAAAGGAGCGTTTTTTAACGTTTTGTGGATTATCTTTATTTATGAAATTTCATGTTCTTTGCACTTAAACCATAAAATTAATTTCAATAGCAATGTCACAAAATAATTTTAAAATGAGCATATCTTTAGAATTTCCGATACACAGTTCCGCGCGCTGGAAATAAAAATTTTTTTTTTTCGAAGCGTTGCCATTGCTCGCTTTGAAATCCTTGAGTTTGTTTATCAAAAATTCGTTAAACGTTTACAAAATATGAAATCGATAATAAAACAAATTTCAAATTTGGTCTTCCACATGCCCATATTTGTAGGAGGATTACGTCATTAAAAATTCGATGGCTCTAGGTACCGTTGTTTTATCACAAGGAGAAAAATATACATACATTTATGCATATTTTTCATTATTTAATTTCTTCAAATATAATGCGGGACTCTAACATTTGGTGGCAACAGTTTGAAAAATGAAACGGACATTTATTAGTGATTCAACGCAAAATCGCAAAACGAAAACAATTGTCCTTCAGGGACAAAGGCCGTTTGGACTGAAAAATACTTCATAAGAAAGCATTGTTAACTACGAAACAACTTCTTGCTACAAATCTACCAGCAAGCATACAGTGCATGAAGACAGTTGTTAGTGGAATATAGCAGAATTTCTGTCAGAATATCTACTTCCCCACTTAATAAGCAGTAATAAATTTACAAAAAAGACTGCAGGTGTTCTGTAAAATATAAGTATTTCCGTTAGATCTTCCTTTCCATTTTATGATTATATGGTATCAAGTAATACTTCCAAAATATGTATTGCATCAACCCAAATGCTCTCGAAACACATATGTGTGGGTAAATGAAAACGTCTCTTTCGGTGTAATATAAAATCTGAAAGCTTTCAAATTTTTTTGAAGTAGAGGACTTACAATAATAATTTGTTTTTTCTCTTTTAAAGCTTTTTCACAATTATAAGATCAATTATTATTATTATTCCCTTTCAAACCATTTTAGTTGCTTTTTCTTCGTATCTAAGCTTGACTTTTCGAACAATTGGGTTTCAGACCTAAATACTCTTCGGTACATCAGTTACTACGCGTAATGGAATTCCTTCACGAAAGCTTTCGTAAGCGAGAGAAACCTGGAATTGTCTATCTTGACATATGTCAAGATACCTTTGACAGGGTTTGACAACCTTTGACAGGGTTTGAGAGGACGGACTTATTTACAAGCTCATGCGGCTTGGTTTTCCGGCTCACATCATTAAAATTATTAGCTCATACTTAACTGAGCGAAGCTTCCGCGTGCGAGTTACCACGAATTCTTCTCTCTTTGCCCGATCTATGCTGGATGTCCTCAGGGCAGTCTTGTCTCACCTCTGCTCTTCAATATCTATATTAACGACGTGTGTTACAACTCGAACGCGAAATGGGCGAAAGTTTCTCTTCTGCCGGTGGCAACGGGGAGTCGGAAAACGAACTTGGAAGAGAGCGGTCGCCCACTCGGTTTTCTCTCGATAGAATTTGATACGAAGGGGGGATAATCCCCATCTTTTGATTTGAAATTAATCTCGAATTATGTATATATTGTAATATAAAAGATGTGTGTAAATAAAAGTCATTAAGACTTAATTGAAGGAATGATTTGAATCGAATATAGAGATCGAAAGCTCTCCCAAATAGAACTATGGATCATAGAAATAACAACGTGTCTAAGGCACCTAGTATCGATCTATCTTTATATGCAGACGATACGGCCATCCTAACCAACATACCAGCATCACCACGGTAATCTCTACATTACAGACTTACCTTAGAGCTCTGGCTCGAACTGTATGAAATCAAAATTAATGTCGTTAAATGTGCTACCACTTTATTCCTCCGAAGAAACATCCCTCGTTTAGATAATCTAATTTTCTTCTGTGAACCTATTCCCTGATTTACTGCTTACAGATACCTTGGTGTTTTACTAGACTCAAAATTAACTTGGCAACTTCACATTCAAAAAAATTATTGCGAATGCGGAAGCTGTCAAAGCCAACCTGCGCCCCTTTTTCGCTAAAAATAGCGACCTGTCACTTGATAACAAGATCTTGCTTTATAAATCTATCATAAGGCCTATTCTCACTTACGCGAGTCCCATCTGGGGCTCAGCTGCTCTGACTAACCGTAAACACATTCAAATTTTTCAATCAAAACTTTTACGACAGATATTGCTCAGCGGTTCATAAGGAAAGATAACATTCATAACGACCTCAAAATTATACCCACAAATCGCTTTATACAGCAACTTTCGGAAAGATTTTTCAAAAACATCCATCTTGTTGGAAATCCAGTATTACATAACCTGCCGGTATACGATCCTGCGGTTGCCTCGCGACCCAGAGCTATCTTACATCCTGAATATGCTCAACTGCCTTTTAAACGGAGCTGGTATGCGAATGCAGATGCTCAAGTGGATGTTTACCTCATGTTCCTAAACCCAACCAACCCCACGTTAACAATCCGTATGGGCATTGACCGGAGGAACCCTGTTTCTTAATTCTTTAAGAAGAGTCTTTTAACGTCTCATTTACAAGGGACAACTTATCTCCGCAGCCGCACGATACTGCATTTAATTTCTTAATCACTTCTTAGAAGCTTCTTTTCACCCGCTAAACGGGTTGCTTTCGACCCCCAAAGGGGCGCTCTTACCTGGCCTTTAAACGTCGCACGGAATAGCGACCAAAATTTCTTCTCCATTAGCTGTATACTCTTATCCGGTTCTAGAACCTGCCTAAAGGGTCCACCCCCCCCCGCCCAGTTCGCCCAGCTACTCCAAATGGGTGCGAGTTCAATGAACCCGCGCTAGCTCCTTTCATCCGGACTGCTAGTTCTAAGGATTTTGTTTTACTGTTGATATCAAGAATCAAGGAAATGTATTGCACATTTTTTTTATCTTTTCAAAATTTTATGAATGATGACTGCCCTATCAAAATTTAATTCTGGCTCTTCTTAGACACGGAATTTAATTAAAAAGGCCTTCTATGAGTTTTTACCTTTTTCTCATGCGGAAGGCATTATCTGAAAAGCTTTTATTTTTTATAAATTAGGCTTCAAAATTTTTTCCTTATTAGATGAACCTCTTTTTTGATGTAATTATTTTTATCTGTGATGATGTGGAGTTAAAGGCCTAGTCTACTGCACTTTGTAAATTAACTTCCTTGATCCTTGATCTTGATTTTTTGCCTTGCGGGCAGAAAGACTTAGTAGGTGCAAAACAAGACATCTCTACTTGCGGTAATGTAGTTCAGATATCCAAACAAATCCTTTACATTGAAGAAAATTCTGTTTCTTTTATTTTAATCCATTAAATTTGTTAATGCGTATCGAGGATGCACTCAGATCTTAAAATTTTTAGAAAAACAATTTTAATAATCACATCAGCTCCATTTATTCTGTTTTTTTTATAGTGCAGTAAGTTTCTGTGCCTGTTGTTTTCATCCCTTTCAAACATACCGTATTTTCTAAAGCGAAATTTGCATCTATTATTAGGTTGTTTTCTCAATAAATGTCACCCAATTCGTCAGATAATTGTTTCAATCAATACTGATTGTAAATCAATAAAAACTCATACCGTTTTTTCGGGATTTTTCTTAATGCAAACATATTGTTTTAAATATGTGTGTGCAAAACATAAGTAATGTATGTAAACAGTTTACTGTGCATCAGCACTTGCAAGAATTTCGGTTGATCTTTACAATATGGTAACTGGTAGTTTGGCGACATTTTGTAGGCGATAAAGGTTACTACCTGGGACTTTGGTAATAATGTGAGCATACTCAGTTCCGATTACGCTTATTTTGTGTGAGGGAAAGGAGATCATGGGATATGTCATGTGATATTAATGGACGAATAGGTTCTTGAATCGGGAAAAGGGGGGAATTGGGTATACGTTATCAGGTAATTTCATATATGTTCTTTTACGGGTTTAAAGATTGAGAAAATGTCATGTTTTTCGTGAAATTTTTTTAATTTATGAGAAAAAAAGCGTGTACATAGATGTAGTGAAGAGGTGTGCGCAATGCCATTTTTGTGCAATTCTGGGATGTTTTTTTAAGTAAAAATAAGTCGACGTATCATGTTTAGTGATATTTAATTAATGATAGTTATTTTGTGATTTTATGTTTGTAGAATTTGGTATACGTTTAAGTTGAAGTAAACGTGCATGGAAATATTTAATATTTGATATTAAGTATTGTAATGCTTTGCGGTATGAATCGTTGGTGACGTGTATAATGTAATAGATGATTAGAGGTAAAAGTTTTTGGATATTTTATTATTTTATAGTGGAAATGTTTCATATTTGGAAAAGGGGTAAATACTTTTCGCGATCAGGTAATTTCATATATGTTTCTTTTTACCGGGTTTTAAAGAGCAATGCCATTTTTGTGCAATTCTGGGATTTTTTTTTAAGTAAAATAAGTCGACGTGTACATGGTTTAGTGATATTTAATTAAATGATAGTTATTTTGTGAATTTTATGTTTGTAGGAAATTTGGTATATACGTTTAAGTTGAAGTAACGGCATGGAAATAATTTAAATATTGATACTAAGTATTTGTAATGCTTGCGGTATGAATTCGTTGGTGACGTGTATAATGTAATGGATGATTTAGAGGTAAAAGTTTTGGATATTTTATATTTTATATGTGGAAATTTTATATTTGGAAAGGTAAATACTTTTCGCGATCAGGTAATTTCATATATGTTCTTTTTACCGGGTTTAAAGATTGAGAAATTGTCATGTATTTTCTAATTTATGAGAAAAAGCAGTGTACAGGATATAATGAAGAGTGTGCGCAATGCCATTTTGTGCAATTCTGGGATTTTTTTAAGTAAAATAAGTCTGCGTGTTGTACATGGTTTATGTGTATGTGTTATTTTGAAAAACGCGTAAGGAGTATGGTATTGTGCTTTTTCCCAATTTGCAGTGAATATTTGTCATGATTAGTAGTTTTGTTATAAAATTTCTAGCATAAGTGTAATTCGGCTAGTAGATTGTTGGAAGAAGTGTTCAGTAGATAAAAAGAAAAGAAACATGTCTTTACTTCGTGAAGACAAAATGGCGGCGGGAAAAAAAAATAGAGGGTTGCTGTAGGAGAGTTGGTCGCCAAATTTTCGCCAAAAAACGCCAAGTTACCATAATGTAAAGATCAACTAGAATTTCCTTTGGCTAAAGTGCAGAATCACCCACTTATTTGATTGGCGCTTTTTACAAGAGTAGAATTGGATTTTTGTCAATTTTCCTTGACTTTTTAAGTGAAAATAGGTCGATGTGTACATGGATAACGTCAAGGGAGTGCGCAGTGCCATTTTTGTGCAATTCTGGGATTTTTTTTTAAGTGAAAATAGGTCGATGTGTACATGGATACCGAGTATGTGCAATTCTTAAAAACGTGCCTAGCAGAGGGCGATTCTTCACTTTGCGCTTTCCTTTTGTGTATTTATAGATAGTCCTATAAATCTTGCAGTTCATATGGCTCAAAATATATTATTGTACTCATTAAGGAAATTAAATGGTCTTTGAAAAAGTTTTTGTTTTTATTAATTTAAAGTTTCTAAATTGTTTTAATAGTTATTGTCAGTTATATTTTATGTAAACAAACTATTTAGTTTGCCAGTTTCTTAGTAAATTTATTGTAGCACAGTCAACACATGTGCTAACAACCATTCTATTCAAATGAGTAATGCAACAATTTATGTTTTATGATTTCTCTTATTTTCATAGTAGAAAGTTCAATTTGGATATTTAATTTTATGCTTTTTAAAAACTGTGTGTGGAATGGGTTTCTAGAATCTGTTGTAAATATTGTTTATCTTAACAATACTATCACTCATTTTACTTTGTTGAAACAGTTTACTCGTACTCCATGTGTGTCTATATTATGAGTAAACTATCTATTAAGAAAATATAATTTGTTTCTTCAAAATTTTGTGTTCTTTTAAAAGTTCAGAAAAAAATATAAATTTCTTTATTTTAGAAAAATGAATAGAGATATAGTTCAAGTGTACCTTATCTCTGCTTATTTTACTGCTTTTATATGTGTTATGTCAGTTAATAAAATGAATCAACATTTGTGTTCATAGTTCACCATTTTCTTTTATATTTTCAGAATGCAAAATCCAAATGTTAAGAAGAAAGACAACACATTTATCGAGGTGACAAAGTATTCAGTTCAGAATGATAAAAAGGTACTTTTCTTCTTTTCTGTAAGCTATGTCAGTTTTCAACATTAAATATGCCTATGATAGGAATAGCTCTGTTATACTGTATTCTCCTGAAAATGAAGCTTGATTGCAAAGTAAGCCCTAACATGATATTTCAATATACTCATAATTTAAGTCCTATACCCAAAAAATGCCATAGTTAAGATCATCACCTTACATAAGACTTATTGCCAAAGTTAGACCTAGTTAAGACTTACCTCCGAATTACCATTTGAAGTACTGACTCAACGCACGTGAGCATTTGTTACTGAATGGACATGATTGTGACTATTAGAATGATCTTAAATCAATATCTTTTTTAATATAATAGATATATTTAATGTACTCATATGAAATAAAGAAATCTTTTCTGAATTTTGTACTTGAAATTTTTTGTCACTTCTATGTTGTTCATCATTGTTAATAGTTTTTGTAATCACTCCTGTCTCATAAATCTTCAGTTAACACTTTATTTAATAATAGATTTAAATGGAACAGCATTATGATCCCTAAATAAAATGAGCTATTCCATTAAGTACAAAAAAGGAGTTATGGAAGATTCTCAGAGAAGAATTTTTCAGCTTTCTGCAAAGAGAAGTTAGATTTCAGAAAATAGTGACCATAGTATGATAATCTGCAGCAGGGTAATGACTTGAGTTAAGAATTCATGGAAAAAATCAATGATAGCTGTATAATCAAAACTGTATGAGCAAGTCTTAATTTCTAAAATTAGAAGTTCTGAGCTCTATCAAAGAACACGAGGGGGGAGAATGTAAAATAATTAATTATTAAACAAAATAAATGTAAAACTTAAATAAATTATTAGATAAATATTTTAAATAAGAAAATAACCTACTAGATCTCATCCTACTTGGGTTCTGGCTTTAATTACAATTTTATCCAAAAACTAAGAAATAACTCAACCCGGCACTGACTGAATTTAAGCTCTGAATGTATAGTATAATATACTACTTCAAGAAATGATAGAAACAATTGATAGACCATTCTTTATCCAGCACACCAATGAAAAACAAAATGATTAAAGCATCACTGGTGAGAATAGAAAAAATGCTATAAACAATTACGGAGTATGAAGGTAATTTTAATGGACCGTATTTAGACATAAAAGCAAAGAGAGAAGAGCCTCTTGTTACCTGCTATCATAAATTCATTGTACGTCTTAAAGAATAAGCCTTAGACATGTGAGTGAGGCTTTTCTTTTCTTAAAAGTCTCAACATTCATCTGAGGGCTAGTTTCCCAGGGAAAGAGAGGCATGCATTCAGAAGTTAGAGATGATTTTTAATTTTATTATTAACCTTCATATTTTTTGTTTAGCCTTCATATTTTTTGTTCACAATTTCCTGCTTATATAATTCTAGTTGTTAATTAGAGTATGACAGAGTGAAAAAAGTTTCCCAAATCCAAGAGTAAGCTGTGAACAAAATAACAAATTTTCGTTCCTCGTACTTAGTTACATGGTTAAAAAAAGTCTGTGTAAGTGCTTTTCCTAGAGGAAGACGGAAGCACTAGAATGAAAAAAGTTACCTGCTATCATAAATTCATTGTACGTCTTAAAGAATAAGCCTTAGACATGTGGGTGAGGCTTTTCTTTTCTTAAAAGTCTCAACATTCTTCTGAGGGCTAGTTTCCCAGGGAAAGAGAGGCATGCATTCAGAAGTTAGAGATGATTTTTAATTTTATTATTAAAATTAAAATTTTAAGATCAAAAGAAATTTTTTATTGAAATTGTGGTTTATTTGCATAAAAGAAATGCAAGAGCCCTCTTATTTAAACACAGCTTAAGCTTTGTGTATGAACTGGCAAAAGGGACAAAAATGCTCATTTAAGAAGTATTTAAGTATTGCTAAACATGATAGATTATGATCTTTAATTCTAATGGCATGGAGTCAAAAGAAAATCAGACTGGGTTTGCAGCTTTATTATGATGTTCCAGAAGATGATATGATTGTACTTGAAGAAATGTAATATTTTATGCATGAATAAATATAGATTCTATAATATATTGATAAATATTGAATGTTTTGCACAAACAAATAAGATGTCCTTTGAAACAAGGCCCTAATTCATTTTTCGAGACAAAAAAATTGATGAATGTCACAGTTTTATTTTTAAGATATATGTAAAATCTATAGATAACTTTATAATCATAAATTTTGCATCAAAATATATATAATTTAAATTAATCCCCATAAGTATAGTTCGACATCTCAAATGCAACGTTGGCTGGCATTCTGCCAAAAGACATAGACTCTTCCAAAAGGGGTGTTATTACTTGCTGCAACATGAAAGTCTTCTTTTCTTTGGAAAGAATATGCTCGAGTGAAAAAAGTCCTCATCCTTCCACCATATTTTGAGAATAATTCGGTATGAATGGCACATGCGTGTTTGCGCTCATGGTCATGGATGAGGCAGTCAAACTATAGCTTATACGTATGCAAGTTTAATATTTCAGTAATTATCAGTTATTTTCCACAAATTGTTCGATGCATATCTGATTAGAGACATGAAATTATTCACTGACACTAGAAAAGAATGAAATGTGCCAAATTTGAGCATAGAGATTATTTGGATTGACAAATAAGGACTGGATTTTGTTGATAAATGATTTTGTATGAATAGTCAGTAACCAATAAGTCATTCATTCATGCAACTAAAAATTAGCAGTACTTTTATTTAATAAGCACATTCTAATTTTTATTGATCTGTTGTTAAGTTTAAAAAACTTGAACATAATAGTTCTAAATAATGTTACTCTGTGAAGCAGTTTTATATGAGATATCGCTTTAGAAGTTTTTATGTGGAATTTAGATAAATAGCTAATTAAGAAAGCTGTATTTTTATTTATTTTGAATGTTTTTTTATTTTTATCAGTTATTTTTATTTCTTCGACATTATTGGCAGTAATCTGAATTTTTTACTATTTCCTATATTTGAATTTTTTAGACTTTTTCTTAATATGTTTTATACTGTGCTATTAAATGTATTTCTTTAAAATCTTTATTAAAAAAATTATCACATAAATGTCTTAACTTTGTTTTAAATTCAAGTTCTTTAAATGTGTTTTTTATCAAAACAAAAACTTTTGCAGGGATATGATTATGATATGATGTTAAACAGATGATATATGAAAACAGTAAGTGGAGAAAAATCTATTCTAGGTATCAAAAAGTAGTGATGTGATACAGATGATATATGAAAGTAGTATTTGAGAAAAATCTATTTAGTATAAAAAAGTAATGAAGACTGAAGGAAATTCTTATAATTTAGCATGTGGTTTAAGTAAAATTTAAAAGCAGTTGCTAACTATGAGTGTTGAATAAGAATAATTAAATAATTGGTCTTTGATAGTATTTTAATTGCAGGGATATGATTATGATATGATGTTAAACAGATGATATATGAAAACAGTAAGTGGAGAAAAATCTATTCTAGGTATCAAAAAGTAGTGATGTGATACAGATGATATATGAAAGTAGTAATTTGAGAAAATCTATTTTAGGTATCAAAAAGTAATGAAGACTGAAGGAAATTCTTATAATTTAGCATGTGGTTTAAGTAAAATTTAAAAGCAGTTGCTAACTATGAGTGTTGAATAAGAATAATTAAATAATTGGTCTTTGATAGTATTTTAAATTTTTAAAAAATAACAAAAACTTCTTTTCTTCAGTTCTCCCCCCCCCTTTAAATGCTATGTTGAGCACTATGTTGTACTGTGTACTATACTGAAAGCTGTTTGATGCATATCACGCAAAGATCCTTATCATAAAAACTGAAAAGATGTAAGGAATTTTCATATTCCCCCATGCATGCTTCAGTAGTTAACACATTTATTTGGCAAATTGGACATTACATGGCTCAAATCATGGTGGTACATAGTTAATTTTTCACATTTTCTCCTCTGGGAAACCTAACGGTCTTTTCAAAACAGTAGCAACATCATATATTAAAAAAAAAAAAAAAAAATCAGACAAGGTGATAAAAGAAAATAGTGTATTTTGATAATAGAAAATAATTGGTTTTAAAATATTGTGATGAACTTGATAATTTTTGTAACATTATTACACATTTTATGATATATTTGAATGACAAAGATAAACTGCAAGAAAGAAGTTTTTAAATTTGCTTTATAATAATAATAATCAATTTAAAAATTAAAAAAATCACCAAATGTATCATTTAAAGATTAAGTGAAGAAAACTTTATTCAAATTATAACAGTCCTGTTTTTTTTTCCATAATTTAAATACTTTTTCATATTTAAACAAATAAAAATGGCAATAATAACTTAATTGAACCTCAGGACTTTGTAAATGATTTACAAATATTTTATACACTAAATTCAAAGGCAGAAAAAAAGTAATTAATAGTAGCTTCTTGTTATATATTCTGTATTATTGCATGATAATACATATTTTTTATCTTACTTGATAATGATTATATATATATACTTTTCATCATTGGATATTATCTTTAAGCAACCCAATTCTCTTCTTTATATATATAAGTGGCTAAAGTGTGTGTCGCCGATAGTTTATTGTTGCCACTTGGAAAAATGAGCGCGGAAATTAACGTTTCCGCAGTAGAACAGCATTGATGGATTCGGAGAATTTTTTGGAATCCGAGGATACATGTCTCGAAAGAAAGTGGAAAATGTAGAGGAAAATTAGTTTTTAATTAATATCTCGGCTAATTAAAGCCCCACGAAGACACAAATGTTCAAAATGGCGTGCCACGGATCTGCGGAATGCAACAGTGTGCTTCGCTAAGCCCGGGAGCCAGCCCTTTCGGAGGAGATGATTTAGACACATCTATATTACCGAGCAAGCGCAACGTTGCCGGTTCCTTAAATTAAGCCCAAGGGCTAATGCATAATGAATTCTGAAAATGGAAGACATTTCGGAAGAGAAAACAGAGAAAGGAAAAGTAAGAGGGGTGGCAAAAGGAACAAGGCCAAAGTCATCTGGCAGGTGAACGGAACTTGACAAGATGAAGAAAATCCGAATGGATCCATGACAATTCACACAAATGACAATGGAGGAGATGATGTTACTTCATCCCATATATATATATATGCGGCTTAACTGCCTGTTTCTTGCCGATAGTTTATTGGTTGCTTGCGTAACTGTACCTAGCCAATGGGGTGAAGTTGCCACGGAACAGAGTTTTTGTTTCAATTGAGACGTAGATAATTTCCTGTAAAACTTGCCTTTGCTAGGACCATCAATAAGTCTCAGGGCCAAACACTTAAGTGTGTTGCCAATTTTGTACCTGAGCCAGCATTTGGACACAGTCAACTTTATGGTGCCTGTTCAAGAGTTTGTGAAAGAACAGACATAAAGTTAAAAATAATTGATAGTCCTCTGCAAGGTGAGCTTAAAAATGATGGAAAGATCTACACAAGAAATGTTGTGTACAAAGAGGTCTTTTGACATGTGAATTAACATTTTATTATTTAAATAACCTTTATTTATTGAGCTAGTGGTGGGCTCTTTAGAAATGTGCCACCAGTGGTTTTCTTCATTGCACTCTACTTTAAGCAATTAAGCAAGTTGAAGTAGGAAAATCCGTGGGGCAGTAAGCAAAGGGGCGTCCTTGCCGCCCGCCCTGGGTAATTCAGTTTTTATTAGCAGACACCTTTGCATAAATAAATTCAATTACAATTTATAATATCTAGAACAGCAGTCATTTCGTATGACCGCCAGGCTTCCTAGTTATAATATATTAAATTTATGTCTTCAATTAGGACTGCAGTAAATGTATAATATTCTATTGATATTTGGTAAAGAAAATACTTCTGTTAATTAAATATTTGATGTAAATATGTCAATGAATTTCATTATGTGGTTAGAAAAATAAAAGGCCATAAGAAATCTAAACTGATTCATTTAAATCAAATTGTTATAAATAAAGTTCTAATAGCTTAAAAAGTTTCTTTTATTAACAATACTTTTAAAAATGAATGCTTGGTTCAATAAAATACAATTTACATAAATAAATAATATTGCTCCCTTGTAAATGTTATGACAACTAATGTAAACAGACTGCTAATATGTTTATTAATTGTTAATGCAGAGTTTTATATCACTTCTGGAAAGTGTTGGTTCTGCAGTCTTGTATGGGTTTTGTTCAACCTCGATGGCATTTACAAACAAAGCAGTTATCACCAGCTTCAGCTTTAATTTTCCATTTTTCATCATGTCTTGTCAGATGTCTCTTTGTATTATTATTCTTGAAGTGGGAAGACTGTTACATTTAACTCACATTCCTAAGTACTCATTGAAATTAGGTATGTTGAACTTCAAACATATGATTTTGTGTTTTTAATATTATTAAATATATGTTTGCTAAATAAAATGTCATTTAATTATGTTATTTAAAGAATGTTTTTAATAACATAAAACTTACTTTAAAGAATGTTTTAATATCATAAAGCCTACTTTAATTGTTAATTAAACATACTTAAACATATTAAAGCATTCTTTAATTAATATAATTATGTTAATTAAGTATGCTTTTAAAATTCTTTGTTTGATTATTATTTATTGCTTAATCAATTTTGCTTTCTTGTATGGTAAATGTGGTGAATGATGTTTTCTAATTTCTTAAAATATATAAATAAATAAAAGAATACCAAGGCAAGTCTTGAATATATGTGCATTCAAAAAGTAATGAATCTTTGCTAGAAACTATATATGTATAAGAGATAACAAATCTTTATTTTCATCTTCAAAATAAGCCAACCAATGGTCATGTGACTAAAGCCTAAAACACTAGTTAGTTCTCCCCGGATTCTGTCATATAGTTGAAGAGTGACTGCATCTAATTTTCATGATTTCAGTGTTATTTGAAGACAGTGCTATCTCTTATAAAAACCCTTCGTGAAAGTATCCTTTGTTTCTGCACATGGTGCTTCACTGTAATCAAATAATCCAGTCTGTACAACCATCAATGTTCTTTAAGAGACTGTCATCATTTCAGTCATTGTAGGGTATAGCAACACTGTGAATTATCCGGTATAATCTTCTTCAATAGATCCATTATAACATGCTCAATAGTGTCATGATTATAATGAAAGTTTTGCAAATATAGAATTTTTTTGCAAAAACTCATTACTATATTTTGTAGTTTGGAACTTCTGTATGACTATTGAAATTTTTCCAATTTATAAACACTGTGACCAAAAAAAAATATACTGATTCATATTGTATTTTATCTTATTTAGTATAATATGAATAGTTCATATTTTGAAACTTTTTAATTTCAAAACAAGACCTAACAGCATATACTTCCAAACACATAGAATTAAGACACTAATATGGCCAGTGGCTATTGGTGATTTAGGAAGTTTTCCAAGGTGCTGGTGATCCCCACACAAAATGATAATAATAATAATTATGGTAAGTATACTAAGCTCATCATCTTAACCTTGTAATCGTTAGCTAATTTCAAATTCATAACTCTTAAATCTAATTGTTTACTTCATAGCATAAAAGCTAAGAATTTTCATATCCCGTCATTCTGGTGATTTCATAAATTTGAACAGAAAATGTACTGGTTTAATATCCAAAACCTCAAGCTTTAATATATAGAAATGAAAGATTTTGTTTAATCAGATGCAAATATATGTATTGTTTTACCCATTAACTGCCAAATTTTTAATCAAATGTTGTCCTAAAAGTCATTTTCTTTTATACCATAATGGTATAACTAAAATATTTAAGCAAAAAATATCAATTATGGTTAACAATCATGTTTTTTTAATAGATGTCTATTTGGAGAACTATTTAATGATATTGTGTAAAGTATTCTGTGTAGAATCAGGCACAGCATTTATCACACTGATTTCCAGTATGTGTTTTCATATACAGTCAAAAGTTGTTAATCCGGACTCGTCGGGACTTCGGCAATTCCGGATTATCGATTTTTCCAGATTATAGATCATCGGTTTAAATCTCGTAAGATGGCATGCAGAAATTCTAAAATTAAAAATATGAAACCGTAATTTATGAAATAAAGAACAATTATGATCTAAAGGGTATCAAAACTTCCAAAAATAAAGCTTAATATTTATTTGTTTACTTTATTAAACATTTCTTTCAATGTAAGTTGTTTAAGTTCCTTCGTTTTATGTGATAATACTTTCTCTTTAATTCTATAAACAGACATAATTTCTTGTTCAGTTACAAAGCAGCTCCGCTGTTCAAGTCCCGTAATCGCTGTGCCGAGAGTACCGACTAACTTGTCAATCAAAATTTCTTCGTTTTCACTAACCTCTCTGTCACTTTCTTCATGTCTTTATCCATTTTTTTGCAGCAATTCCACTTTCTGTTTGACGGACATCGAAACATACTTTCGTTTTGTAGATCCTTTGAGAGCTCCAGCATCGGAAATTCTATTTGATATAATCGAAAGTTCAAGTTTACTTTTATAAAATTGCTCTTACAGTCTGCAAAAAATAATAAGTAGCATCCCATTCGAAGATTAAGGAACAACGCAATCATCAACATTAACTGATTAGATAATTAGATAATTTTAGCTGATACCGTCCGTTATACATTAAACGCGCACGCGAAAACGTATTCTGCGCTTGCGCGCACACATATGCACAGTCGTAAAGGTCTTGTGCGCACGCGTAAACGCCCATGCGCATGTGTCAACGCGGCGCATGCGCAGAAAGTTTTTAGCTTTAAGGTCCGGATTATGGGTGTCCGAATTAACGACTTTTGACTGTAGTACATTTTTTCCCTTCATAAGACACAATAACCTGCAAATGTGCAGTGTTAAGCACGTGCAGAAAATTTCTAAATGGGAATCATATCAGGCAGTAGGTTAAGTCAACAGCAAGTGCAGTCTTGTCTAATAATAATTATTGAAACGGAATATCCAAAGAAAAATTAGGCCAATAATAATAATAATAATACAAAATTTAGTTGGTGGTTAAAATTAACCAAAAAGATTAAAATATTTTAATGAAAACAATAATCCAATAAAATATTACAAAAATGATTGAAAATTTGATAAAATTGATTAAGTAACCATCTGTATAAAAAGTATATTAGTTTTATTTTTGTTTAATTTTTTTTTTTTTTAATTTTTTATTTTGGTTGTTTAACATGAGTTCAGTCCCAAGCTAATGGGTTGACTGCATGGTTTGTTTTTGTTTTTGGTATTTTTTCCTTGTGTAATGTGAATATGAGCCAGTTTCTTTTAGAAATCCTTCCATAAAGGCATCCCTTCCCTTGGATGGATAAACCTCATCTGTTTTACTATATTTAAATTACCTAACCTATTGGTTTTGCGAAGCACAAAGGCATCCCTTCCCTTAGGTGGATAACCCTCATATGTTTTACCGGTACTTTTCCGTTTTGCTGGTGCAAACAATAAAGTCGCCAATAATGGTACAACTGAAGCCAAACAGAATATCTTCTATGGTAACCTTTTACGCTTCATTTTCAAAACAAGTCACAGCCATTTTTTATCAGATTTATTGTTTCTTTCAATACTGGCATACAGTTACATAGAATTTTTACAAAAGATAGTTAAATTTTATACTCTAAGACCATTTGCGGTAATTAAGTCAATTAGGATGCAATCGCACCACTCACCCGAAGGCGAAAATATAGTAAAGGAAAAATTAAGGGTTAAATTCATCAATTCTAATGAGAATGCTTGAGCGAAGTAAGGCACTGCGGTTTTACATAATTTCTGAGTAAGCTATTCGTACGAATTGAAATAATTCTTGCATTTAAACTTGTATTCCAAATTAAGATTTTAACTTGAAATTAATGTAGATAATTACTGAGAGAATTATATTTTTGTAGCGTAGTTTACATGAGATGAGATCACTTTGAGTCACGTGATACGAGCCGGCGAATCATGATGTTGAACCATGAAAGCGTAGTAAATTCTTAAATTAATGTCTTTTTACAAATTTATTGTCTTTATTTATTGGCTTTTTACAAAATTTTAAATTATATTAATATGTTTATGCCTTCAAATTAAAAAATTCTTAGAACTAAAATTTTTTATGTGTATACTGTATGCTATCGCCTACAAAGTCTGCTTGGCGAGATTTGCGGTGGCGAAATGGAAAAGTACCGTTTTGCCATATTCAGATAACCTAACCTATTGCTTTTGCAAGGCATTTTATACTGAATCTGTGAAACTGAGAATTTTTTCAAAGAAGATCAAATGCCCTCCAATGCTATGGTTGCTTATAAAAGAACCATTTGAATCTTTATCTGGAAATGAGGCTCCTCCCTTGTATTATTTCAATATGAGAATATGGTGTAATTTTTTACACCACTCGAGAACTATAGTTAACACTATTATAAATCTATATGGGAATGAATCAACAGATAATAATGTCTTATTAAAAATAATGAAATTACAAAATAAATCATAAAGAGTTAATAGCTAGGTATTTTTTTTTTTTAATTATGTTTTTATGTTAGTATACAAACTGTTCAGTTTATAATGTAGCTTCATGAATAAATAAAAATTTTGGAGGTAGAATAATTAAAACAATAAAACTTCTAAAAAAAAATCCCCCAAAATAAGAAGTTTAATCAGAGCTCACTTGTTAAAACATTTGCTATTAAATATGTTGTTTTTATTCTGCATTGTCTTAATGTATTTACTTAGAAGGCAAATATTTTAGGTTGGACTTTTGCATGGCCAGCTACATTTTATGCCCTACATTCTGTAACTGCTTTGCATGCTCTTGGTGGCATGTCTATTCCGATGTATGCTGCTGTCAAAAGATGTGCTCCAATCATCACTCTTATCCTGTCAGTTGTGATATTAAAAAAGAAAATTCCCAATTTAAAAATTGTTACAGCAGTTGTTCTTATATGCGTTGGATGCTTTTTAGCAGGTATAAATATTTCTTCTAATTTATTCTATACAAGATAGGTTTTTGCCTTTTTGTTCAGAGATAATATGTGATAAGTTTTTAAATTCATATGTGAAATGGAATTGTAATAAAAACATGACTTGCCACTATGTCAAAAAAAATGTGATTCTGGAAATTTATTTCATTAGTAACATTTAGACCTTGATTTTTGACTGAATTTTCCATTTTAATTATGATTTAACACAATTAAATTAAAATATGTTACGAAATCTTCTGTTTAAATAATGCATGTATATATTGATTATGATAATCTAAAATTGAGATTATCTAGTTGATGTTGACATGTAAGTGTGCAAAGTAGTTTCAGTCGTTGTTGATTTAGCACTTTTATTTTTGAATAAAACAGTTCTTGACATAGACACACACAGCTTAATGGGCACAATATGTGTGCCCATTCTTGTTCACATTTACGCCTTTATGATATCTGTAGAACTTTGAATTTCAATGGTGGAATGAGCAGCAGGTAGTAGTGTGCCAGCAGAAAAACAGTGAGAGAGTAAATGCAACGTATCCAAGAAGAAAACTGATTCAGAATGACTTCATGGTTTCGGTTAAGATTTATCCTTATTTGTTAATTTTAAACTTCAGGTCCTTAATTTGAAATTATTATTGGCTGAAGCATTATATAAATGCCTGCATCATTAACATTATGCAAATATCATGTGAGAAGGATTAAATTTAAAAGTTTATAGATATTTATTTTAAAGAGCTACATTTTTTAGGACAGAAAGGGAAAAGGATCAAATTAGAAAAAAGCATTCAAGGACTGCAAATTAAAGTTAGTATTTTATCTATTTTTTCACCTTGCTTTATATATAATACACTATGCTATATAATACACTAATAAGCAAATTATAAAATGGGCCCCTGGAAATTTATAAAAGAAGACGTATGCTATTATATATATATAGTATTTATAAAAGAATCCATTGTCTTTTAATTTTAAACATATAAATGTAGTTCAGCAGGGTATTCAAGGGCCCTCTAAGCCTTCGGGCCCCTATGCGACAGCATTCTTTGCATACCCTTATTTACGCCACTGCATAGGAGGTCCTTATTATATTATTTGAACCACACAAAATATTTATATTAAAGGAATTTAGTATTTTAATTGAGTTCTTCATCTTTCTATTAAATATATGTATAGAACCTGTGTTTATATTATTAAAAAACAGGTAAAATTTTGTCTGCTCATTGTTTCTTTTTGTAACTGATCAGGATAATTATGTAACTGTAATCAGTTTCCATAATTAGTATTTCTAATATATTATAATTAGCTGTAATAATTTAAATCATTATTAGAATCATATTTAGCCACTTTAACATCAGTGACTATAAATAAATAAATCATAAACTGTATTCAGAGAGAAGGAATTCATTATCTATTCTGTTATTAACTTTCTGAGTGGCATTTCTTGTTGGATCTGCTCATGAAAACCTGTATTTTATCAGCTTCTGTTTTTATAAACTTCTATTCATTATGGTAATATCTAGATTATTAAAAAAGTAAGAAAATAAAATATTTTAAAATTATAATCTTGTATATCCAAGCAACAGAAAATCTCATGATCTGATAAAGATGGTGTTGCTTCTGAGAGAGTTAAATTTATTTTCCATAGTAAAATTATGATTTTTGCTGCATATATCATAATGCTTTTTTTATTAGCCAAACAAAATAAGCCTTTCAGTTGCTTTTCCTTATTCACTTAAGTACAGAAAAGTATCTTACAAATAAACTATGCTGACTGAAGGATTAAATTCCAAAATTGTGCAAAATTAAAACTTTGAATTCTTTTTTTTTGGGGGGGAAGGGGTCCAAAGAGGTATTAGCCTAGAAGGGCATTTTGTGTCAAAATCTTGAAATGGCATTTTGCATTGAATCACTAAAAGTGTTAAATCATTTTTCAAATTGCTACTACCAGATACTATCGCCCTGTATTATATTTAAAGAAATTAAATAATGAAGAATCTGCATGAATAATAATGTATGTTTCTTACATTGTAAAAAAACAATGATACCTAAAGCCAGCAAATTTTGAATTACATAGTCCTCCACCCAAATATGGGTACCTGAAAGCCAGAATTTTGAACTTTGTTTCGAGCTTCTTTTTTTTTGCTCTGAAAAGAAACAAATATTCAGGAGCTCTTAGTTACTAGAATGAAGCATATGATTTCCAGCAAATTTTGAATAACATATTCCTCCAACGTAATATGAGCAGCTGGAAGCCCGAAATTTGGAATTTACTTTATTATCTCTTTCATATTTTGTAAAACTTTAATGGATGTTTTATTAAAAACTGAACAATTTCATAGTAAGCAGTGGCAATACTGTAAAAATAAAACATTTTTAAGTCCAGTGTGTGAGACTGCGTAGTTATCAAAAGTTCTAAAGATATGATGTTTTTAAATATTTTTAACCCAAATGCTCTTTAAATGTGTATGTGTGTGTAAATGCAAAATATGCCCCTTTGGAAGTAATATAATATCTGAAAGCTTTTCCATTTTTTTTTTTTTTTTTTCCATTGAAGTAGTTACAGTACATACGAATGTATATGAATAATGTACATATTTTTTTCTTTCAGGTTTAGGAGATTTGGAATTTGATACGAAAGCATATGCATATGGGATATTCAGTGTTTTTGTTCAAGGCCTCTACCTTACTTTAGCTCAAAGGGTTTTAGAAGATATGTCTGCATTAGATGTCTTATATATTAACTCTTATAACTCTAGTCCTTTCTTCATTATTTTGTGCTTACTGTTTGAAATTCGGGAAGTGACTCAATACAATGGATTCTCAGGTTCAGTATTGTAAAATATCTAGCAACTTTTAAAGCGAATTTTTTATAATGCTTCTTATTTTGTTTGAGAAAGGCCATGTTAAATCTAACAAAACATTTCTTAGGGTTTTCCATTATTTGTTTTAAATAAATAATAAAAATTGTATTCTCTTGCTATTTCACAGACACTGTAAATGTTAAATACTAAATTTAATTTATGAATGATATTGAAGTCTGCAATTTTCTGCTTTAAAGTTTAATGACGAAATTCTAATTTATTTTTTTCCCTTCTTCCAGATCCTGCTTTTGTATTGTGCTTTGGTATTCAAGCATGCATGGGAATTCTACTCAATTACTCATTATTTCTTTGTACTGCAAAGAATTCAGCTTTGACTACCAGTTTAGTTGGAATACTGAAAAGTGTTTTACAGACTGTTATTGGACTTTTCACATTTGGTGGCATAAAACTCAATTTAACAAATGCATTTGGTATTAGTCTAAACCTGTTTGGAGGAATTTTGTATTCTTACTCCAAATATAAACAGACTATAAAAGATTCAAACAGTATAAAACCAGTTTAATTAGATGTTAGGTATTATGTATTGAATAGGAGAAAATGCCTTCAGTTCCCTTGATAAAAAAGATGTAGCAATTAAAAATTGTGTCATAATCATATAGAAAATTTATAAAATAAATAAACACTTAAATTTTAAAATTTTACAAAAGCTTCAGTTTAAGCTTGAAAAGTTCTTCAGTTTAACAGCATATGTAGAACTTGCATGTGTTGTAATGAATTTGGAAGTCTTTTTCTTTATTACCTGTAAAACATTTTCAGATGTTTACAGTATAATAAACATGATAATTTATTCATTTTTAGTTCTTAACAAAATTATTAATTATTTTTTTTTTTTTTTTTTTTTTTTTTTTTTTTTTTTTTGGTACCATTTTACCTGTAATTAAGTATTGGTCACATTACAACACTGAGCCCTTCATTGCTTTAATAAGAATTTTTAAAAAATTATGAACCTTTATAGTGTTAATATTAGTTAGAATGATGCACATTTCAACTGTATTATTTCATATACTGCATTGAGAGGGCTATATAAGCACTGATTTACTGAAAAATTAATTTTCTTCATTTTAATTACAGTAGGTGCTGTTTAATGTGTCACATTTGTCCATGACTATTTTCATAGCATTTAGGGATGAGAAAAATATCGTTCAGAATATCAATAGAATTGAATTAATATAAATATGAAACACACAAATACAGCATTTTAATTAAAGAAAATGCCACTAATAGTTGATTGTCTTCAACTGTTATGCAAAAGTTGTTTCTGGAAATTATTTAAGTTGTACCTTACCTCTAATTTTAGTACTCATACAGTATGACTTATTTCAACATTTGTAGAAAATTCACCGATTTCATTATCTTCTTCAGAAAATTTATCTATTGATGTCCTTGGATTAGTTTCAGAGAGTGTTTGGCAAATAGCTTTTATCGCTGATGATGCAACTTAAGTTTCATCAGTATCTACCCAAATATTAAATTCCTCACAATAGAAATGTTGTTTTTAATTCTTCAACTTCTAGATCCTAATTTGTTAAAAGGTTAACATGCTTTGTTGTCTTTTCTGAGGTACAGACTGAAGTTAAAGAAATGCAGCACATTAAACTATTTTTCCTTACTAATTCATTTACACTTATATCCATGTAATCTAATATGGTCTTTATAAAGGACTCTAAAGCTCATTTTGTAGGGTCTTTAGGTTTATCGAAACCTAATGACTACATGTATTGAATTTACCATACATGTTGACGCAGCAACTCGATCATTGACTCAAGTCATTCGATGTTTTGATGCATCTTTTTCTCCACCATGATTGCGTCTGTTAACAATGTTTTCTCTTTTCTTCCAACAGATATACCAGCCATCTGTTGCAACAAAATCATATTTCCAATTTGTATGGCTATTTCTTCAACTTTCTACCATATTAATGGAGTGCTGACTGCCACATCTTTAACACTTGTAAATCAATTCTTGAATGCTTTTCTAACACTAAGATTTTTCTCATTACACATCCATGTCATGTTTCAACTTCAGTTTTGCTTTGATTTGCAAATAATACCTTCACAATCCTTCAAAATTTTATGTAAGAGGAGTTGAAAAACATTTAACTTTAAAGCAGCATTCTGTTAAATAACTACACAGAATAAAAAAACTGAGCATTTTATAGAACAGAACATTCATAAAAATGTAAAGCTTATAACAAGCAAAGGGATGTTTGGGAGCAAAAAGGAAGTTATTTAGAATTCCATTTTGTTAAACCGGTTAGTTCAGACAGTCTTCCTAAAACCTGGAAAACGAGGTTCTTTGCAAACTGGTACGCAAAATTAAAAGACTCTACGAATTATGTATTTTTTTTACTAGTATAAAACCAAAGGTTCCGAAGATTTATGCAAATACTCAGAGTCGAATACGTAAGCGTACACGTGTGCTTCTGCCGAGCTTGTAATTGTGGAGGGGATATAAGCGCAGAAGTGGTTTTCGGCGATTTTTGCGTTCATTCTCCTTCACGACATTTGTCGAATTTCTCGCAAAAGTTGGGTCAATTTATAAGGTGTCGGGTAAAATAAATGGCCATGGATATATGGATGACGGAATGAGATGGAAAATGGTCGATAGATGGGAGTCATGCCAGTCACAAGCGCAGGTGGCTACCTCAGCATAATGCCAAGTGTCGTCTGCAGTTTGTGGAAACAGTTTCACGACACTGAACCATATCAAAAAGTCGACTAGGAGCGAGCGACAGCGACGTATGAGGATCGTTATTTGGCACTTTCAGTGCGGTGACACAGGACTGCCACAGGTTCACAGCTCTCAAGTGAGCTGCATGCTGCCACTGGAACCCGAGTTTTACAGCCCAAGGCTTTACATTTCCCCAATGTTAATGAGATGGGGCTCTATGCCAGTAGACCCGCTGACTGAAGCACACTAGAGAGCACGTTTAGCATGATGCAGACAATATACATCTTGGGCCAGATTTAATTGAAGCACTAAGCTATTTACATATGAGTAAAGATTCAACCTAAACACTGATTCTCGGCACAAACGTATCTGGAGAGGGAGCCCGGAGCATGGTACCATCCCTCCCTCATCACCAGTTCTTACAGACCTATCTGCTTACTCTCAGCATGGGGCAAATGACAAGATGCTTACGCAGAGATTAACGTATTACCTGGTCAAAAACAAACTACTAAACCCCGCCCGATACGGGTTTACTAAAGGGCGGAGCACCACCGACGCCCTCAACCGTCATCTTAAAGAACAAACAAAATAACCTCCATACGTGTATAACATGGCTTGACGTAGCGTCAGCATTCTATAAACTATGATGGCCAGCGCACAAGCTACCTCACAGAACGTCAAGTGACCTACAAAAAAGAGACCTTAAATATTACGATGAATTACCACAAAGGAGCCCCGCAGGGGTCTAATACCGGACCCATCCTGTGGAGCATAATTGCAGATTCAGCGCTAAATATCAACTTTGGAGACTATGCCAAGATACAAGCTTACGCCGACGATATTATACTCATAATAGACGGAGGCAATATGACAACAATAAAGCGTAAAGCTGACCCAGCACTCAAATTGCTTACAAAATGGAGTCAAGACAACAAACTGTGTTTCAGTATTGAAAAGACACAGATGATAGTCTTTCCAAAGGGCTCTAAAATATACCGGGAATCCAACACGCATAAAGTGGAAAGGGCATCCACTGCGACGCCAGGATGCCATTAAATACCTCAGATTCACGCTTGATAAGCATGAACCTTATAAGAGATAGACTAACCCAGTGGGCGGAGCGTGCGTCACCCGCATGTCCGCAAGAAAGAGTAGGGACGATCTGGCTTACTTTAACACGGAAACCTATGGCGTTTGTATCACATAGCTGATTTTAATTATTAAATGTGATACGTTGTATAAGTGATGAGATTATGAAAGTCATAGTTTTTGCAAATAAAATTTAATATATCTCATTAAAGCACTTTTTTCCCACGCGTAATTCTTGTACAAACATCTTTGGTAAAACGATAAAAATTCTAAACGCAAAACTTATGAATTTATTTCTGTGTACAAATAAAGTAAAATTAAGTAATATTGATAGCGCATGATGCTTTGAAACAAATAAGGTAAAATTAAACAAGATCTGATAGTTTTCTGTGATTTTATTCATCATTTCTGATAATTCTGATTCAGGCAGTAGTTTTTAAAATTATTATACCATAACAAGACGATCATTTATTTGATTATATGATCATTAATTATTAACATTACAAGATAATTATTTATTTTAGTAGTTCATAAAATTCGGAGCATAAACCTTTCTCAGTGCAATGAGGAAAAAAAAGATAAACTCTGGAAGCATTCAGATTTGATTTTATATTACGCCCAAAGAAACTCTGGAAGCATTCAGATTTCATTTTATATTACGCCCAAAGGAGTGTTTTTTGTAACGTTTTGTGTGTTACTTTTATTTATTAAATATCATGTTCTTCGCAAGTAAACCACATAAAATTCAATTCAAGAGCATATCTCAAAATATTTGAAATGGCATTTTCAGAATTCCGCGCTGGAGATAAAAATTTTATTTTCTGTACAGGTTTGCCATTGCTCTCTTTGAACTAGTTGAGTTTGTTAATCAAAACTTCATTAAAGTTACAAAATATAAAATGGATTAAAACAAATTCGAAATTAGGCCGTCCAGTGCCCATGTTCGGGTGGAGGATTACGTTATTCAAAATTTGATGGCTCTAAATTCCGTCGTTTTTTCACAATGCGAGAAACATACATGCATTCATGCAGATTCTTTATTATTTAATTTCTTTAAATATAATACTGGGCGATAATATTTGGTGGCAACAGTTTGAAAAGTGAAACGGACGTTTATAGTGAAACAAAGGTAAATGCCGTTTCGAAACTAATAGCTTTGAGCTGCCGCCCCGCCACTCGTTAAACATAAAACTAGCATCATTATACAGTTTATTTTTAACATTAAAGAATGATTAAGTGTTAAATTGTTTATCCCTATGATGTATTATGAAATATTATTGAAATAAAACTCCTTTGTAGAATATTATGCTATAATATTTACCTGTAAATTGTAAATTTGTAAGAGAAAATTGTTTGTTTGAATTTTTCTATTAGTTCAGATTTAAAATATTATTTTTTAAAAGAAGTAGATGCAAATTTCGGTACTTTTCCGTATTGCTGGCGCAAACGATAAAGTCGCCAATAATGAATGGTACAACTGATGCCAAACGGAATATCTTCGCTGGTAACCTTTTGCGCTTCATTTTCAAAACACGTCGCAGCCATTTCTTATCAGATTGATTGTTTCTTTCAATACTGGCATTCAAATATATAGAATTTTTACGAAATAGTTAAAAATTGTATGCCTTAAGACCATTCGCGGTAATTAAGTCAATTAGGAGGCAATCACACCTCTCACCCTAAGACAAAAATATAGAAAAAGCAAAGTCAAGAGTTAAATTCATCAATTCAAATGAAAATGCACTAGCCAAGTAAAGCACTGCGGTTTTACATATTTTCTGAGTAAGCTATTCGTACGAATTGAAATAATTCTTGCATTTAAACTTGTATTCCAAATTAAAATTTAACTTGAAATTAATGCAGATACTTACTGAGAGAATTAGATTTTTGTAGTTTACGTGAGATGAGATCACTTGGGGTCATGTGATACGAACCGGCGAATCAGGCTGTTGAACCATGAAAGCATAGTAAATTCTTAAATTAATGCCTTTTTACAAATTGTCTTTATTTATTGGCTTTTTACAAAATTTTA